CTGCCACCAGCTGGATGCCCAGCGGCAGCCCCTCACTGCTCAGGCCCAGTGGGCACTGTGTCACCGGCAAGCCCAGGACGTTGAAGATAGCTGTAAGAGAGAAGGTTGCATCAGAGCGAGCACAGCAACCGGGGCAAATAGCCTGCCACCCCTGCCCGTGCTCCGGCGGAGGGGTCAGAACTGCTCACCTGTGTAGGCAAAGTTGAAGGGCATGCAGATGGGCGAGTGGTGCCTGGGAGCGATGGTGGGGTGCGAGGGGTAGAGCAGCACACCATCAGGCCCCAGCAGTGCCTCCATCTCCTCCTGCAGGCTCTTCCCCATGCTCACCAGCTTGGCGTTCCCACTGGGGTTCAGCTTCATCAGCTTCTCCGTCAGCCCCAGAGCTGCAGGGCAAGGGCACAAACAGGAACGGAGAGTGGGAGGACCATGGGATAAGTGGGCTCGAAAGCACGTTGCCTGGCCACACGCAGCACACCCCAGCTCCCAGTGGGGCCTCCCAGATCCACCCCTGCCGGCACACCGGCTCCCAGCACAGATTGCCTCCCGCATGTGGCACGGCTCTGCGGGCAGCATCTCCCCAGCTTTGCCAAGGGAAAGGCTTCCAGCCTGCCTGTTGCATCAAGGAGTTTTTCCAGCCACTGGGATTGAGCAGAGTGGGCAGAGCAACCTCAGCACTCATTACACAGCAGCACGACGGCACTAATTAGGGCTCTGGCATCTACTGCTAAGAGATGAGACCAATGCAGACCCCTGACTGGCTCTCTCTAAGTCCCAGCAGTTCTGGGGCTCACAGCAGGAGCAAACCCTGCCTGCAGCTCCACTGTCCTCACTTCTTCTCCCAGGATACCCAATCCCAGCTAGCAAAAATCCAGCCACCTCCCCCTCGAGCACGCTTTTGACTTGAAGACACCGAGTGTCATTACAAAAAACCCGTCTGAAGTTGCTCCATGCAAACTCCCACATCCCTTTGCGGGGTACTAGAAGGGCACTATTTTCATTCAACGACTCACTCGCCCTACCACCACCTCTGCACACCCCGGGGCTCCTCCTGGCCTTACCGATAGCTGGGAGAGTGTGGGAAGACATCCCCACGAGCCACTTCATCTCCCCACAGTGGCCACACCGGCTTCCCATGATCTCCCAGCAGGTCCGTGAACATCTGTGCCTCCTGTAACACACACGCACGCTCTCTCCGTCAGCACATGCGTGCGTGGTGGGGAAGAACAGGCTGACAGACAGCGAAATCTCCGGCTCTCCAATTATCCCGATGCAAGCTGTTCCCATTTTCAGACAAGAGATGCCCATTAGGAGGGTTACACAGCTCTAACACTAACCCAGAGTGGCAGCAAGAGCATCTTGCCCTGCCAGGGACAGCAAGAAGAGGACACTGCTCTGCAGCACCCCAAAGCAGCACCTTTCAGTACACCTCCTTTGACGTGACGCAAGGGATGACGCTCTGGATAATGTCTCCTGGAGGCATTTACTGCTGTTACATGGCTGTGGGGTGAGGAAACAGGCGGCAGAGGGGACCAGGCATGCCCTCCTTAGCAGGGTGGGTTGGTTTATTTTTCACCGCCACCTGTGTGGCAGGAACGCAGGAGCTGTAACACTCCGGAGAGTTTATTTTTGCTACAAAATACTTCCATGTGTGCACAGAGCACAGCGCAGTGGCTACAACTCAAGGAAAAAACGACACGCACAGGCGTGCTGCTGAAAAGCCGCTAATCCACTGCCTCAGTCCCGGCATCCTAACGGGTATTAATCCCAAACTACGTCAGGAGACGCAGCACGGAGGTAAGAGCGAGGCAGGACGTGCTCGGCTGACTTACCAACCTGCACAGAAAAAGCCAACATGCTAAAACGGTCTCTCCCTCCCTAAAGCATATTGCCCCTCTGCTGGGAGCCACGTCATCGTCGCATGAGATGAAGCAGGGGAGAAGGGGCTGTGTGGCTTGGGCAGAAACGGAAGGAGGACTAGGGGGACAGACGGAGCAGAGAAAGCCCCCAGGTGGGTCTGGAATACAGCTCTCCATGGCTGGCCCCAAATATCCGATTCTTCCCTGCTGCCACCAAATCTGTGCCTCTGCCAACTCAGTGTGACACACCTGCCCATCGCTGTCCTTGGATGACATCATGGCTGACCAGATCTGGAAGGAATATTTCATCTTGTGGATTGCCACGCGCTGAACTTGGACCCCCAGCTCGCCTTCAAGGTGCTCCACCACCTGAGGGGAAGAGTGGGAAAGGCTTGTTTCCGCAAGGATATGATGTGCTGCGGTTAGTCCATAGAAACGAGAGACAGGATTGCTCCCAGGAGTAGCTCCTCTCTGCTGCCACGAAGGGGATCCACAGCTCCTGCCCGATTCCCTCTGCCCTGAGCAGCAGGACCTCCTCCATCTGAACAGCCTTGGAGCTCCCCAAAAAGCCCTCCACGCCACCCGCAGGAACGCTCCAGCAGAGCACCAAGGGCAGCACAGAAGATTTCAATGAAAACCAAAAAAGTTCCTTTGCACGACTAAATGCCAGGCAGCAACCCTGGGAAGACAGCAAGCACAGAGCCGTCCCTTGCCGTGCCATGTGCCCCCAGGGCTCCGTAACACGGACAAGAGACTTTAAGAAAGGAAAACACAGCTATTGCAATGGAAATTGGGCCAAAAACTTTGGACGCTGCGGTGTTCTCTGGTGCACTTCAACACACGTGTGCTGCTGGCAAGGGCACCGGCAGCTGCTCGCAAGATTTTCCCCTTGTTCCTTCTTTAACACAGAAGAAAAAGATCTTTCCACTTTTTTCCCCACTGGAAGCAGAGGACCGGGACTCGGGGCTGCCTCCACGGTGCTCCATCCCGCCAGCCCCTGCAGGAGCCACGCACAGAGCATTCCACTGCACCTCCAAGAACTCCTGGGACTAATCTCCTCAGGTTTTATCTCCAGGCTCACCCCAGGGAGAGCCGACCTCTGTTCCTTCCTACCTTCTTTTGGGCCTGCAAGATCTCCTTGTCCACAGGCGACACAAAAAGGGCCCCGCCATCATGATCCATGCAGTGAAATTTTATTTTCTCCAGCGACACCTCTTCATTCAGCTTCAGCCTGGGAAAGGAACAGCGCTTTGCTTGTAAATCCATTCCTGGCTCCTCCCCAGGAGCCAGAGCTGCTCCCATGCTTGTTAATGCGTCCTCAGGACACCCTGCTCTACCCACGAGTGTGGGAAGGAGAGTCCCTGATGACACACAGACACCTGCTGCCCACAACCCATCCAGCTGCTCGCCCGCCCAGTCAGTCCCAGCTAGTTCTGCATGTTTGCTGCCGTTAGGAAAATCCTTCTCTCTCAAGATGCACCTGGTAATTGCAGACCCTGGCCACGGCCAAGGCTGGGATTGCACAAGAGCCATGCAGAAACTAGTAGTAATGGAGAAAGCAGCCATATGCAGGCTGCAGCAAGAAGCAGGACCTGCCTGGTCTGCCCCATCTCTGCTCTGCTCCTTACTGGTACACGCACATAAAAGGCTGCTTGGTTGCATAGACCTGTGAAGAGGCCAAACAGGGCCATGGCGTAGGATGAAAAACTCATTATTCAGCAACAGGAAAAAGCACATTTAAGACCCAAAAGAAAGGCCAGCCCCAAGAGGGAAGGGCCATACTGGATGGTGCTGGCTGAAGCAGCTCACAGGCGAAGTCTACCTGCAAGGGGGGTCCGACTGATCCCAGCTGCCTGTTCCC